GTTATTATTATTATTATTATTATTATTATTATTATTATTTTGGTACCGGAGATCGAACTCGGGTCCTTGTGCTTGCACAACAGGCAGCAAAACCACTGAGTTACATCCCTGGCCCCTCCCCATCTTTAAAATGGGCTTCCTGGTAGTACCTTGCTCCTGGGGCTGTCTTGGTCATTCGGAGAGTAAGATTTGCCAAGTTCCCTGCCTCAACAGGCCCAGTGGAGGTCACGCTGATAGTGATGAGGGCAGAGTCCCTGGCTCCACGTTGTGGAAGGACTTGTCCTGGGAGGAGCGTGTGTTCCACCGGGGGAGCGGGGGCTGGAAAACCACACACAGGAGCCAGTTTGTACATTGGTTTCAAACAATACATATTTAAATCGCAGTACTAAAGAGCGTGCATTTAATAGTGGGAGGGCAGTGCTATGGATCAAGTTGTGGCTGTTCTCGAATATCTGGGCCTGGGGTCCATGCACCAGCTCCTCTGACTCCCACAAGGTGGCCATGATAAATAGCCATGGGTTTTCCTAGGTGAGGGATTCGGGGTTCAGAGAGGTGAAGCCACTTGCCCCAGGCTGCCAGCTAAGGAATGGCAGAGTTGGACTGGGATTTGGACCATCATGTGAGGCCCTGGGACGGGTGGACCAGTCCAGAAGGACTCACTGGGGTTGGAGTTTGCTGGGAGGGGAGCAAGTCTGCATAGAGCCTGCTGCTTCGGGCGGGCGGCTGTGGTACCGGGGGTTCAGGGAGGGCCGGGGGCCTTGGGGCAGCAGCGCAGGTGTGGAGCAGAGCAGCGCCCTGGGTGCGGTATCGGCGGATCCCACGCTGCCTCTCGCCCTTCCTTATGCCAGGGAGGCTCAGAGAGGTGGCTCCCTTGTCTGGGTTACAGGGATGGGCGCACGCCTGTGGCGGCCGGGTGTGTGTGACACTGTCTTTGGGGTCACTCTGAGCCGGGATTTGCAGATCTGGGCCCTGGGCAGGTGCTCCCCACAGTGGGTGACACGGGGGTCCCTTTCCCCATCCCGCCGCTGTCCAGGTACAAGGGTTTCATCAAGGACTGTCCCAGCGGGCAGCTGGATGCTGCGGGCTTCCAGAAGATCTACAAGCAGTTCTTCCCCTTCGGTGACCCCACCAAGTTCGCCACGTTCGTCTTCAACGTCTTCGATGAGAACAAGGTGAGCTGAGCTAGGCGTGAACGGATGCCTGGGTCCACAGAGCTCCTCTTCCTGTGACAGCTCCGCCCCACAGCGTCTCCAGGAGCAACACGCATGCGCACGTGCATAGACACCAAGGTGTACAGACGCACCGCGCGCGGCAGGCAGGGACACCCCACACATGCATATATTCGAATGCATGCGTGCGCACGGGGAGATGTACACGAACACTCATGTACGCACGTGCAGAGAGGCGTGTACAGGCTTGCACATGCACACACGTGCAGTCTGCACACGCATACACACATGTACAAGCATGTAGACACTGACTTTTCCTATAAGCATGAAGGGCAAATCCTCCTATTAACCATCGTGAATGGCGTTTACTGAACACTGACTATGTGAATCCTCAACATGGATTACGATTACTGGGGCCTTACAAACACCAGTGGAATAGGGTTTTGACTTCCTGATACTCCGAGTTGAACCCAGGGTTCTTGCAGTGAGTCACATCCCCAGCCCTTTTTATTTTTATTATGAGTCAAGGTCTCACAAAGTCTCTAAGTTACTCAAGCTGGGTTTGAACTTGGAATCCTCCTGCCTCAGCCTCCCAAAGTGCTGGGATGGCAGGTGTGTGTCACCATGCCCAGCCGGGGATAGGTACTTTTAATTCTCCCTTTTTGTGGATGAGAAAACCGAGGGTCCAGATGCAGGCCCTGCTGTGGGCGCCCCAGGCTGGGGTCACCTCCCTGCCTTCCCCTCCTGTCCCCTCATCCTTCACTCTGCCCATCGGCCACGGGTGTCTGTGCCTGCTGCCGGCTGTCTCATCCTTCCAGGGTCTGCCCTGACCACGTGGCCAGGCGCTGAGCCACGCTGCCCCTCTGTCTCCTCAGGACGGGCGGATCGAGTTCTCCGAGTTCATCCAGGCGCTGTCGGTGACCTCTCGGGGAACCCTGGATGAGAAGCTGCGGTGTAAGTGCTGTGCCCGCCCGAGGCCTGGGTGGGCAGCAGCGAGGTGGTCCGGGCCGGAGGGAGGTAGCCCTGGGCCCTTGCAGGGAGGCGGGGGGCACCAGATACCGCTGCAGTGGCTGCAGATGGCGGCTGGCCCAAGGGCTCACAGAGGCCTGGGGGACCGGATGCTGGGGGATGTCAGGGATCCCCTGGGCTGAGGGGTTTCCTGCTCTTAGGGCTGAAACTCCCCTAATGCCTCTCAGAGGCCAGGTCCCGGGCCCCTCTATGTACCTCCCACCACGCACCGATTATTTTCTTGAATGTAATGTTGGCCCTGGGCCTGGTGGCATGGGCACATGCGCGTCCGTCGCCGGGTTGACGCGCAGAGAGGAGGCCATGGGGGCCCGTCACTGCCCCTGCCGGTCGCTCAGCCCCAGCTGCTTGATTTCAGGGGCTTTCAAGCTCTACGACTTGGACAACGACGGCTACATCACCAGGAACGAGATGCTGGATATCGTGGACGCCATCTACCAGATGGTGGTGAGGCGCCCGTGGGGGAGGGGGCGGGGCTTTCGGAGCTGGCGACTGCCTGGGGACAGAGCGGCCGGCGCTGTGGACATCGCTGGGGAAGGGTAGACTGCGGCGGAGCGGGGGCGACGGCGGAGGGGGAGGGGGAGGGGGAGGCGAGTCCCACGTGGACCTGGCCAGGTCTCGGCCACGAGCCCGGAGCCCACAGCGCCCCGTTGTCCTGGCAGGGGAACACGGTGGAGCTGCCTGAGGAGGAGAACACGCCCGAGAAGAGGGTGGACCGGATCTTTGCCATGATGGACAAGGTAGCTGGCCCTGGCGGGGGAGGAGGCGTCGGGGCAGGGACTCTGGTCTGGCCTTGCCGCTGACCCTAGGGGACTGGCTAGTGTCACGGCCACCGACTGGAGGCCACTTCCACTGAATGTGCAGACTTTTCGGTTTGCCCAGCATAGCCTTTATTTTATTTACTTTTTTGAGACAGGGTCTGGCTATGTAGTTCAGGCTGGCCTGGAACTTGCAGCGATCCTCCTGCCTCAGCCTCCTTGCGTGCTGGGATTGCAGCACTCATCCAGCCTATTTCTCTCCTCCTCTTCCTTCTTTTTTCTTCTTTCTTCTGTAGTCCTCTTTGGCATTTTGGAGAAACCTAGGGACTTCTCAGAATAAAAGCTTTCACTTCATAAGATAAAATTCGTAGGATCAAAAGAGAAGCTACTTATTTTGGAATGCAGCTGTCAAAGTATGTTTTATAAACGTGTGTGACGCAGTAGCACATGAGCTTCATTATCTACACATTAAACAATAAAATGTGGTGGTGGCCCAGGGCTGGGAGTGGCTTGGGGGTGAGCACTCACTTGGCCGGCAGATGCAAGGGGCCCCAGCCCTGCAGAAGAGAGAAAGGAAAGTAGGTGTGTGTGTGTGTGTGTGTGTGTGAGTGTGTGTGTGTGTGTGTGTGTGTGTGTGTGTGTGTGTGTGACACCCGTGCCCCGGAATCTGTGCTGTTGGCAGCAACTGTGAAGTGTTATGAAAAGCCTGCAGAGTTGCAGGTACTGCCGGCTGGGGGGTGTGTGTGTCACCCAGAGTCACATGGAAGGGACAGCTGCATTTCGGTGAGAGCTTAGCGAAAGGAAAAGCTAGATTTTTCCCAGCGATGTTCGCAGACCTGCAAGATTCTGTCCACAGACTCCAGGTTAATAAACCAAGCCAGCCACCCTTCCTTCCCTCCTCTCTTTCCCCCTTCCCCATCAATGCAGGGCCTTGTACATACACAGCCCACTCCCTACCTCTGAGCCACGTCCCCAGCTCCAAACTTTTTTTAAAAAAGAAAATAATACCTTTAAATGGAAATTAGAAATGGCAGTGGCCAGAAAGCTGGTCCTGGGTGCTTCAGTAAGAGAACACAAATCTCCCAGATCGAAGGTTTCTTGTGCCGGATGGCCAGGCACAGGTGTGGGCCCTGAAAGCCAGAGTCTGAGGCTGGTACTTTCTCTTTTTTTTGGTACCAGGGATCAAACTCAGGACCTTGTATTTGCGAGGCAGGTGGCAGAACCACTGAGCTAAATCCCTGGCCCTGGCACTTTCTTAATTAAAAACAGGAGGTTAGCGCCTGCAAGGGGGCGGGAAGCTGAACTGAGCCCCTGATCCGGCCCCCTGGTGATAATCAGGTTTACTGACAGGTGGACAGATCGTAGAGAAACAATAGCAGCCTCTTGCAGTGGATTCGAGGCTGCTGCTTGCCAAGGCGATGATGGCGTTCCAAAACGTCCTCAAGTCCCCCGAGTTTGGAAGATGGGGCAGACCCTGGAGCCACCTGTACTGGGGTGGGGATCTGACCTCCCAGGTCCGTGTTCCCCAGTGGCTTAAGTGCGCCCCCAAGGTGACCTCAGAGAGACGTACAGGCTCCCAGCCTTGGGACAGACTGCAGTTTACAGGAAGCAGAGCAGCAATGAAAAGCACAGTGCCCTGGGGCCCCTAGTTTGCCAGTGTGGAGTCCCCCACCCCCACCAGGGCTCCTGTGCCGTGGTCAGCAGGCGGGGAGGGCCTCCCTTCCTGACCGACCGGCTGCATCCTGGGGGGCTGGGGTCCCCACCTCAGCCACCTCTCTCTGCCCACAGAATGCGGACGGGAAGCTGACACTGCAGGAGTTCCAGGAAGGCTCCAAGGCTGACCCCTCCATCGTGCAGGCGCTGTCCCTGTATGACGGGCTGGTATAGTCCAGGGCCCAGAGCTGGGGTGAGTTGGGGACCCGGCCCCGGGGCACCCAGGGTGGGCAGCGAAGGGCCTGGCTTTCCGGGGCCACTTGGGGTCTGCCCACTGGGGCGCGGCTGGAGGGGGGCCCTGGGGGGCCTCAGGTTACCCAGGGTCCCTCTGCTTTGTCATTTTATGTTCTTTGATTCAGCTCTTGGGTTTGCCTGCAAATGAGCTTCCTGGCTGAAGGAACCTTGATTCTCAGTTCTCAGGCAGGACGAGGGGCCCAGAGGGCAGGAATGTCCCATCCCCTGGCTGGGCGGCCGGCAGAACACCCGGCTCAGCTGCAGCTCTTCTGTTGTCCCTGGTGGGTCTGCCGGGAGGGTGGGAGGGCAGCATGGCCCTCGCAGAGGCCGCCCTCCTGGTAAAGGTGACTTCCTTCCTGCCTGCTCATCTCCCTTTCCTCTTCCGAGTCACGTCCTCCGTGTTGGCCGGGTCATTGGATGGGAATGAACCCCAAGGTCCCGTCCTGCTGTGAACGGCTCTGACTTTGTGTGTGTTCTGCTGGTGCAAAATTTCTGGGTTGCAGGATTTGGGCCTATTTGGCTGTGGGAGATGGTACCAAGTTTTCCAAGTGCCAGTGCCATTTTATATCCCCACAAGGTGTGTACAAAGTCCACTGTCCCATGTCTCCACCGGCATTAGCTGTTTTCTCTCTTTTGAATTTTAGCTGTGCCAGTGGATGTGTAGTGATGGCTTGTTGTAATTTTATTTATTTTATTATTTGTTTTTTTGAGACAGGGCCTTGCTATTTAGCTTATGCTGGCCTCGAACTCACTGTGAGCCCAGGCTAGCTTCGAACTTGTAGCGATCCTCCTGCCTCAGCCTCCCAAGTGCTGGGATGACAGGTGTGCGCCACCACGCCCAGCTGTTGTAATTTTATTTTGCTTGGCTCTGATGTTATATCATCATCTTGTTTGTCCTGTGTATATCACCCATATGATCTATTTTTTTTGAAGTGCTGTGGTCATTGTCCACTGCTGCGTACTACATTAGCACAGAAGAGCAGCCTAGAGGCCCTGAGCCCAGGTCATTTCCGAGGTACTGTCAGGCTGACCGGCCATCCCATTTTGCCCAGGCGAGCTCTGGATTTAGCCCGGAAAGTCCAATGTCCTAGGAAACCCTTCATCCCAGGCAGACTAGAAAAATTGCCTGCTGTTGGTCAGGGCTGCAGTTTCATCCAAAGGCTTGCCAGGGAGGGGGTCTGCTTCTGAGTTCACTTGCGTGCGCCCACTCGTGTGAGCTCAGCTGGTCCCTCTCCATGTGGACACTCCACACAGAGCTGCCTTACAGCCTGGCTGCTCCCTTCTGGTGAGTTTTCCTAGAGAGAGCCCAAGACGAGAGCCACAGTCTTCTGTTACTGTTTTGTTTGAGACAAGCTCTCACTCCATAATTCAGGCTGGACTGGAATGGACTGTATAGTCCTGGCTGGCCTCGACCTCATGGGAGTCGTCCTGCCTCAGCCTATGATACGTGTTGAACATTCTTTTACATGAGTTGTAGCTCAGTGAAAGCTTCTTGCACTGCAAAGAGTGGAAGCCTCTCAAACTGTCGCAAGAAGAGTAGTGCAACTGGGTGTGATGGTGCACACCTGTAATCCAAGACTCGGGAGGATCACAGGTTTGAGGCCAGCCCAGGCAACTCAGCAAGACTATGTCTCCAAATAAAATTTATAAAAAGCCTGTGGGTGGAGCTCAGTGCCCAGCCATGCAAGACCCTGTGTTCTGTGGCCAGCACCACAGTAGTGCAAATCACAAAGGATCACGGGTCACTGAGAGAGAAGATTAGAGGTGCAGCCATACTTCCCAGGGTGAAGGACCCAGAAGGCCACTCTTTCTGAGATGACCCAGGGTGTCCCTGTTCTGGGCAGCTGCCCTGTTCCTTCCCTGGCCCAAGAGCCTTTGTTTCCTCCCTCTATGGCTAGACCACAGGGCCCTCCCATCTCTTCTCCTGTGGGGACTTCTGCTTCCTTCCAGGGCTGATACCTAGTACCTCTTCCTGCTTTACCCACTTTTGATTCCTAAGAGAGGAACCTGATTGGCCCAGATAATGTACTCAAGCTCCCATCAATTAGGAGTTCAACTCCCTGGGGTCAGATGCCGACTGCTGTCCAATGAGGGGTGAGCAGGGTCATGTGATTTCAACATGGCTGCAGAGTGGTTATGGGAAAGATCTGTGGATGATGGGACTGCACCCCATACTCTTTTAAAAATTAGTTTATTGGCCAGGGATTTAGCTCAGTGGTTTCACCGCCTGCCGTGCAAGCGCAAAGACCTGAGTTCGATCCCTGGTACCAAAAAAAAAAAAATTAGTTTATTGAGGCGAAACTGACATAATGCGAAAGTGACCATTTTAAGCAGACAGTGGGATTGAGGGCATTCACAATGCCATGCAGTCACCACCTCTATTGGTTCTAAAAGATTTGCTTTTTTTTTTTTTTGGTACTGTGGATTGAACTCAGAACCTTGTGCTTCTGAGGCAGGCGGCAGAACCACTGAGCTAAATCCCCGGTCCAAGATTTGCTTTTTTTTGAGACATGGTCTCACTGTGTAGTTCAGGCTGGCCTTGAACTTGCAGCAATCCTCCTGCCTCAGCCTCCCAAGTGGTGGGATTACAGGCGTGCACCACGCCTGGAAAGATTTGCTTTATTCTAAAATAAAACTCTGTACTATGGAGCAGTTTCTCCCTATCTCCCTCTCACCCAGCCCTGGGTGACCACAGTCTGCTTTCTGTCTCTCTGGATTGACCTGTTCTGCATGTTGTATAGAAAAGGAATCAGGTGCTATGTGACCCAGGATGTCTGGCTTTTTTTATTCACTGCGCATTCATTCGAATGGCTCCCCCACATTGTGGTATGCACCAGTGCATCGCTCCTTTTCATGGTTGGCAGTAGTCTGGTGTACGAGGCTCCTCCATTGAGTTCATCCACTGATGGGCATTTGGCTGCTTCTGTCTTTTGCCATTATGGACAATGAGGCTATGAACAATGTGTTCATCTGTTTCTTTAGTACCTACTTTAGTTTCTTTAGATACTGTTTATATATTTAGGAGTGGGGTTGTTGGCCCACATGGTAATTTTTTTTTTTGTACTGGTGATTGAACCCAGGGCCTTCATACTGAGCCACATCCCCAGCTCTTTGGTATTTTTGTCATGCTAAGTTGCTCACTCTGGGCTCAAACTTGAAACTCTTCTTCCTTAGCCTCCTGGAGTGACAGGCACGTGCCTGGGCTCCCTGCTGAGTGGTGACTGTGTAACTTTGTGGGGAATCACCAAGCTGTTGGTCGCAGGGCTGCACCATTTCACACCCCACCAGCAGGGGACAATGAGGAGGGTTCCAATCATCTACATCCTGGCCTTTTTTTTTTTTTTGGTACTGGGGATCAAACTCAGGGCCCTGCACTTGCAAGGCAGGCGCAGTGCCTCTGAGCTAAATCCCCATCTCAAAGATTTCTTTTTTAAATTTATAAGCCTGGCATAGCAGTACATGTGTATAATTCCAGCATTCAGGAGGCTGAGGCAGGAGGATTGCTGTGAGTTCAAGGCCAACCGTGAACTACTTAGCAAGATCCTGTCTCAAACAACAACAACAACAAGAAAAAAACTACGTTTTAAAAAAAAATTTTTTGGAGACAGGGTCTTGTCACATTGCCCAGGCTGGGCTTGAACTTTTAATCCTTCTGTCTCAGCCTACCCAGAGTGCTGGGGTGACAGGCATGGGCCACCAGGCCCGGCTCTATACATTGTTTTAATGGTCATAAAGGATTTTATCCTATGGGCATATCCTAATTTATTCAGTTGGTCCCCTGATGTTGTCACCATTTCTTTTATATTTTTGCTGTGACAGAGGGTATTGGGGTGAATGTCTCTCTTCTTAGGGATAAATGTGTCAACCCCAAAGGAGGGGTCTGAGGTGATGCACATTTGCGAATTTTTTTTTCCTGTACCGGAATCAAACTCAGGACCTGTGTTTGGCAGGCAGGTGCGGCGCCACTGAGCTACATCCCTGGCTCATTTTTATTTATCTATTTTATTTATATTTTCAAATTTGTCGACAGGGTCTTACTGTGTAGTTCAGGCTGGCCTTGAACTCGGGCCAGTCTTCCTGCCTCAGCCTCCCAAGTGCTGAGATCACAGGCGTGTGCCACACGCCTGGCCTTACGGACATTTTTAGGACTTGTGACCCAGAATGCCGCTCACCCCGGGTGACCCCTAACCGCCTCGCCTCCTGTGTCTTCCAGACGCCGGGGAACACCTCGCCTCTCCCGTGCCGTGAGGCCTCTGCGGCCCGACGCCACCCCTGTGCCCGCCCGGCCGTCCGCATCCACGCCCCGCCGGCCGCCCCTGGCCCACGAGGCCCGGCTCTCCTGACCCTGGCCCGCGCCTGCCCACCACCTGACGTCACCAGCTCCAGCCGCCGACCGCCTCCGCTCAGCCGAACCAGAAAAGGCTGCAGCCCTCTGCAGAACCCAGGACTCTGCTCGGGGTGCTGCGGCCTCTCCTCCCTCCTGCTGGCCTGTGTGCGCTTTGGTGTTTTTTTTTTTTTATTTCAAATGGACATTTTAAAAAGAAACAAAACAAAACAAAACAAAACTACCTGCCGTTGTAGAAGACACTGAGGATTTGCAGACGGCCCGGGCGGAACGTGGAGAACCTGCTGGGCCTCTCTCTCCCGGCCCGTCCCCCGAGAGGCTGGGATGGTCGCTGGTGACGCCCGTTATTTTTTGTGATAGCAGTATTGTGCTTTTGTGGGGAAAGTGAGGGCTTTTTTTTAACCGTCGTATATAACTGACACCCTTTATTTATTGGTTGTTAACGTTGCTGCTGCCCGGGCCGATGTTCACGTGTCCACGCCTCGCTCGCCTGGCGGAGTTCAGCCAAAAAACATTTCTTCTCTTCTTTTCAGATACTGTGCTTGCCGTCTGCAGAGGGACAGGCGGGCCCTCCCTGCTCGGCTCGTGGACTGTTCCTCCTGCCCAAGACCCCTTCTGAACCCTTGGGCCCGGCTGCTCCCCAACCCCTCCTCCTCCCTGCCCTCCTCTGGGTCCGTGACATCTTTTTTCTTACATTAAGGATGAACAGGCAGCACTTTCCAGTTTCTTCCCTCTTGCTTTGCATCGGCAGCCGTGTGGGAAAAGGGCCATCTGTCTTTGCTAGCAGCTTAGCTGAGGTCAAGGTAGCCACTTTCTGGTGGATGGTGGTAGGAGGGTGTTGAACGTTGTCCCCGAGTCCCTCCCATGCTGCTTCCGGCCTTCCCGATGCCTTTTGCTGTAGACCACATGGCGTCCTGCCTGGTCTCGCTCTGCATGGGCGCTGGAGGAAAGGAGGGGAGAGAAGGTGCCAGCTCCTCACGGCAGACTTCTAGCTCCACCTGCGCCTGAGTCAGGGGTGGCCCCAGAGGTGTCGCCAGGAGCGTCAGATGACCCTGGGCCAGAGGTCAGGAGCTGAGCCTGCCCCTTGCTCTGTGGCTCCAGGCAACCCCATGCCCTCGTGGGCCCCGGCTGACCCCTTAGCAGCGCTGGGAAGGAGGCCGGGGATGACTGAGTGTGGAGCCCTTTTCTGGGTGGATATAGAATTGGGAGCCCGGATGCATTTGCCTGTGTTTGTGGCTCTGTGGCCCATGGCTGGGTCGCCAGGCCCCTGCAGATGTGGGGATGGTCTCACCGCAGCTTGGCCTCTCTGCCTCTTGCTCAAGCCTTCAGAGACGTCACAGCTGTGGGGTGCTGGTGTGTGGGTCTGGCCTGGGGCCGAGTGTGTCTGACACCTGCGCCTCCCCGCAGTGCTTCCTGGACCCCAGATTCTTGAGCCCCTTCTTGGGCCCAGAGCTCATCTGTATGCGGGAACCCCAGGCTGAAGTGGCCTCGCTGCTGGGGCGTTCAGGCTGGGGTGGGTTCTTGCTTCCACTTGGTAAAGAGGACCGCCTCCTATGCTGCCCCCAGGAGGGGCAGAGCTGGCTTACTCCTGCTCTGAGAGCTTCTCGGTCCTCTCCTCTGTCCCAGGAGGTGGGAGCCACTCTGCCAATGACCCCTCCGCCCTGCTGCCAACCAGAGGATGGCATTTCCTGCCATGGGCAGCATGGCAGAGCCTTCAGCTGCTTTGTCTCCATCATCAGCCCAGATCCCGAAGGGATGGGGAGCAAGGAGGCCACCCTCAGAGGTGACTTTGCAGGGTGGGGCCTCCTGCGGCCCTGCAGGGTGGCTTCTGCTCAGCCAGCAGCCGGGGGTCTGAGCCTCACCACCAAGCACTGCTGCGCCTCTGCCCGCTCCCGAAGGGACCCCAGGGCAGGGGCGGCTGGGTGGCCTGGGGCTGACAGGGTGACCCTGGACCCCTTTCCAGGCCCTCTTCTGCCCTACGGAAGCCTCGCTGGCCTCCCTGGTCCAGTGGGAAGGATGAGGCTGCTGTCCAGCCTGTCCTGGAGGCATCGAGGGCCAGGGATGCATAGCTCAGGACTGTCCAGGGCTGGCATGTGGCCCCTCCCACTGGCCGCCTCATCCCTGGGGCCTTCCCCAGCACCCTGGCCCATCAGTTGGAGCCACACGTGTGGCTTTGGTCTTGGCAGGTGCTGTACTTGAGGACGGTGGCCCTGTGTGCCCATGCCCTGAGCCCAGAGCTGCCCGCAGGGAAACCTTGTTCCTTGCAGGGTGCTGGACACTGGCCATTTCCACTCCAGGCCAATTTCTGTCCGTTCCTGTCACCAGGCCTGTAAATGTGGCGGTGCCCTCAGAGTCCCAGGCCAGCCACCCCGAACAGCCCAAGGGCCTGACTCCAACCTGCTTTACACTTGTGGCCCCATCCTGGGTGATGACCCTGTTAGGGCCCAGGCCCTCTGTCCCCCCGCCGAGCTGTGAGCCCTGGGGACCAGGGGACAGGGACCAGCCTCTTCTCCAGCATCTGCTTCCAACTTTGTGTTGATGGTGACTTCTGAAATGTCACAATTTTCCAATATTTAACCAGGCAACGTTTAAAATAACATCCAGGTGAATGTATGTCATCTCTGTATTGACGTCTCTTCTCCTGAAACGCTTTGTGGTTTGACAGCTGCTGTCCCAGACAGGAGTCCCTGGGCTCTTGGGGACATTGTCTTTTCTTGGGGGAGGGGGAAGGGCGCTTGGGGACCTCGGGAGTCTCTCCAGATGTCCCGCTAAGGGAAAAGAAAGCTGTCACACCTTCGCAGGGCTGGGTGCCCCTCGACAGGCTCCAAGGATGTGCGGGGGTGCCCCCTGGTGGCGACGAGCGGTGACGGCATCTGGGGGCTCCAACCTCGCACGGCAGGGTTGGAGGTCTGCGACCAGGCTCCCTGGGCCGCTTGATTGGCAGGAGGTCGCCCCGGTGCCCACCTCTGAGGTCATCCCAGGGGCTAGCAAGGCAGCCTAAGGGCAGGGATGGGAAATCTTGCCCTTCCTCCTTCCTTTCTTATTTTTTAAAAATATCTGCAGGATAAACCCAATGGTTACTTTTTGGATGAATAAAAGGCTTTTGTTGAATAAACAGCTGGTCCCATTTCTGTCTTGCCATTGGCCTCCAGGCTCAGGCTCGTTCCCCAGGATGAGTGGGACGTTCTCCCTGTCTCACCCAGCTGCCACTTCCTCCGGGACTTGGGGTGTGGCCCTTCTGTGGGCCAGTTTCTCCATCCCACACGTGGGAACCTGGCCACCTCCCAGGCCCACTGAGAAGGATTGGGGAAAAAGGGAGGGAGTCGTATGTCCTGGCTGTGCTCATGCGTGTCCTTTCCTGCTTGCCTTCCCAGCCCCCTCAGAGTCTCTTTTCGGGGTGCTGTCCTGTCTGCGTCTGGGCGAGGGGAGGCCCTTGCCTGGCAGTGTAGGCCGGGCTGACAGGGCTGTGTCACACGCCCTGGCCGCCGCTGTGTGCCCGCTGTATGTCGTCCGTGTCACGCAATTAAATATGCTTCCTGGACCTGTCCTGCCTGCGTGTGGGCCTGCTGCTTTGTCTGTTTCTGTTTCTCTGTCTCACTTCATTGACGCCCTCGCTCCCAGCCCAGTGTCCCTGAGAGGAAGCCTGGGCACAGGAAGCGGGTGAGGGCAGCCGGAAGGGCAGCAAGGGGAGCCCGGCACAGATCCCGCACCCAAGGCATCTCCTTCTCCCTACTCTGGCTGGTGGGATCCCAGGGCTGAAGCTGCTTTAAGTGTGTGAAGCCAGACAAAGTGGTGCCTGCCTGTAATTCCAGCACTCTGGGAGGCTGAGGCAGGAGGATTGAGAGTTGGATCCCAGCCTGTGCAACCTGAGGAGACCCTGACTCAAACATTGGGTGGGGATGCAGCTCAGTGAGAAGGCCCTGGGTTCAGCTTGGGGGCCTAACAAGGTAGATTGGTCAGAGCTGGGCCTGAGGAGCTGGGTTCCCCACAGATTCCCAGCTGGGCTCACATTGCTGGCATGGGTGGCACTTTGAGAGCCCCTGGTCAGATGGTGGCACTGTAGGACATCCCTGGCCCAGGGATTCGCCTGAGCCTCGGCTCACCTGCATGAGACTTCTGCACCTGGGCTTTCCTGGGTGTCCAGAACCCAGAGGCAGTGGCTGACCCCAGTGGGTGGGGACAGGACGGGAGGTGGGTGACAGTTGCCCTTGGTGGGACCTGGGATCTCGCGGGCGCCTCCTCTTCACTCTGGTCAGGTGGCCCTGCTTGCTTAGTGTACTGGGCCTGCCCTGTTGGGCACAGTCAGAGAGGTGACAGTCCTTTCTTTGGAGATCAAGGAGGACACAATTCAGGGGATGATAAAGGGCAACATCAAGTCAAGAGAGTAATTGCCACTTAGAAATCTATTGCTCTTAGCTGGGCAGACTGGTGCACACTTGTAATCCTAGGTAGGAGGATTACAGGAGGTTGAGGCAGGAGGATCCCAAGTTCAAGGTCTACATGGGAAGACCTTGTCTAAAAATTTTTAAAGAATATTTATTTTTGTACTGGGGATCGAACTCAGGACCTTTCACTTGCGAGATAGGCAGCAGAACCACTGAGCTAAATCCCTGGTCCCTCAATTTTTTTTAAAGCTGCGCATGTAACTCAGCTTCAAGTCCTGGGTTCAATGCGTAGTAGTCTCCCAAAAGAAAAGAAATCTGTTGCTCTAGGCCCAGGCTCTTGGAAGACACAGGAAGCATGTGGGTTGACAAGATCGAGCCACCTACACAGGGACCAGCCTCTGCCTGCAAAACCAAGCTGCTCTGCAGAGCGCATTAGCGTGAAGGCAATCTTCAGCCCCAGCCGCGTGGAGGCAGAGCCGGAGGACCAGCTACACCTCCCACCTTGTGGGCAGCCTTGGCCCTGAGTGCTGTCTGGCCTGGTGGAACTTCTCCAGAATCCAGGCAGTGTGAGTCGGAGGTTAGGGGCATGGTTTCCAGAATCAGAGTTCCCCACTTGGCATGGCTGTGGGTTCTGACTGCCAGTGGTGAAAATGGAGACCCCCCTAGTGTGAGCCTTTATAGTCTACTTCCTGCATAAAGGGACTTCTACCATTTTTGGTGCTAATAAACACACTCTGTGGTGTAAACCTTAATAACAGTGCATATTTAACATGCTAAGCTAGGTGTGGTGGCACAGGCCTGTAATCTCAGCACTCAGGAGGCGGAGGCAGGAGGATTGCTGGTAGTTCAAGGCCAGCCTAGGCTAAATAGTGAGTTCAAGTCTAGCAGGAGCTACATAGCAAGACTCTGTCTCAAAGAAATAAAACAAAAAATGGTGATGGGGCTCTCTTGCCCCAGGAATTCTGGACTCCAGCACCTGGTCAGGGCTGTGGGCATGGAAAGGGCCTTGAAGGTCACCCAAGTTTAGGTAAAATGAGCTCAAGTAGGTGTGGTAGAGCCTTCTACTTGTTTCCTACATCTTTTAAGCCATGTGGAATAAAGGACTACATTTCCCAGCCTCCCTTGTGGCTGAACATGGTCATATGACAGTGCTAGCCAATGGGATGAGGGTGACCAGCTCTACCTTCCTCCCTCTTTTCCTTTCTGTGGTTGGGACCAGTCTTCCTAGAACCAGGTCCCCAGGCCCATGAAGCCACCTCAGCAGCCCCAGACTGTTAACACTGGGACTGTGACAAGGAAGAGAATCTATTTCCAACTTACTTAAGTCATCCTGGGTCTGCATCAACAGCCCAATAGACTGTATGGTCCTCTGGGTCACTCTAAATGACTCCACGCCACCTACAAATATTTGGATAGAAGTTCTCCATGTTTGCCAAAGTCATCTAATCAGAAGGATCCTGGGGGATGTTTTGCTTTTTTGGAAGGACCGGGAACCAGAGGCTCTGGATCATCAGGGAGCCCAGGAGGAGCCCAGAAGACGAGGCCAGTTGGGTTTTCAGCCCCTGGGAAGCCATGGGGAGGGCGCAGGGCAGGCTGGGCCTAGGCTGGGCTCAGGAAGAACTGTGCTGGGGACCCTTTTCTCAGAGACCCCAAAGAAGCCATTCATGAAAGCAGATCTTAGAGGTGAGAATGTGGTGAAGAGGAAATAGCTGTTTTTGGGGGAATCGGGAAGCAAAGTGGGGAACAGTCAAGTCGGTACCACTGTCCTAGGACAAGGGCAGGTCTTAGGTTAATGGCTGGATGGTGGCTGTCCCAGGGCCAGGGGAGAGACCGAATCTGTGATGCTGGAGAGCATCCCTCTGACTTCAGGACCCTGAAGACCCAACTGGCACACTGTGTGTCACGCCAGGGAACAGGCTGGGACTTATCCTGGGGTGCAGGTGCCAAGGGCCAGCCTGGGAGACAGAAGGGAGGGAGCACCCCACCACCAGGGCAACTCTCAGGCCCATCCCAAGATTCAGATTCTACGCCAAAGCTGCCAAATCTCATCATATAATACAACAGACATTCTCAAAGGGGTTTCTAGGCAGAAGCTGGAATCTTAGTAGAATCCTTACCAGCTTCTTGAGGTATGGACAAGAGCCCAGTGTGTAAGTGCTCGGCAGACACATCACCAATGCCAGGCCTTGCATGTGCAGCCTGGGTCAAAACACACACACACACACACACACACACACACACACACACACACACACACACAGGTTACAAACAGCAGCCACAGGTGGGCACTGTGGGCACTCCATTGGTTAGAATTGGGTCACATGACCACACAGCCGCAAGGGAGACTGGGAAATGTAGTCCTTTATTCTATATGGCTTCATACTGATCTAAAAGAAGATGCAGGGAAGAAAAAGGTCAAACAGGGCAAGAGAGGAATGCAGCTGGGATGGATGGCAGTGCCTTTAGGGCACTGAAACATCAGATTTTTCTAGTGGGTGAATCCACACAGAAAGAAGAGGCCACGAGATCACTTCCAGGAGGTGGCATGGGCACTGCACAGGTACTCTGGGTGCACAGTGCTGAGGTACTTTCTGTTTCTTGGAAAGCCTGAGAAGATCTGTCTGTCTGTCTCCCTCTCTCCGGTGCTGGGGGTGGAACCCAGGGCCTCCCACATGCTAGGCCAGGGCTCACCACAGAGCCTCACCTCCAGCCCTTTTTATTTTACTCTGAGAGTCTCACTAAATTGCCCAGGCTGGCCTGGAACTTGTGATCCTCCTGCCTCAGCTTCCTGAGTATCTGGGATGTCAAGTGAGTGCCACGCACCCAGCTAGGTTGGCTCTTCTCCCTAACTCTGCCTGCTCTACCAGTTAGCTAAGGGATGACAGTACAGGTCCTGTACTCACCGTGGTCAACACTAGACGCTGGTGGCGCTCTGTTCCCTGCGTATCACATTTATCTCACAGCAGCGCCCCCTGGGGGCTGGTACTAGCATTACACCCCACGTTTCTGCACTCAAGGCTCCCCAAGGGCCTGTGCGGCTCTGGGAAGGGGCAGGGTTTGGAGAAGCTGCAGCCGGTTGTCCCTGGTCTGGGGGAGGAGCCCATCCGGGGGCCCTGAGTCAGGAGGAAGCTGGAGGTGCAGGCTGAGGTGGGTGCTAGGCAGGGGCAGGGGCAGGGGCTGGCCCGGGGGGGAGGGTCCCGCTCAGGGCTGCCAGGCGCTGGGGCGCTGGATTCTGCGCTGTGGGCGGAGGGTGCTGCCGTCACTATTTCCATTTCCAGTCAGGAGGCCAATAGAGGGGAACCACAGAGGGTGAGTGACTTGCCTAGGGCCACACAGCCAGTGGACAGCAGGGTGGGGACCTGAGGCCCGGCCTCCTGGACATAGAGCCACCATAGCTGCTGTCCTGTGATTCATCACCTTTGGCCTGATGTCCTCTCCCTGGGTGGCCTAGAACCGGCACTTCCCAGAGGCTGGGATTTTCCATCCTGGCATGGGGGAAGCCTTTGTGTGTGTGTGTGTGTGTGTGTGTGTGTGTGCGCGTGCGTGTGTGTGCACGCGTGTGTGCATGTGCACAGTTGTATGTGAGTAGGAATTGAACCGAGGGCCTTTGGACTGAGGTACAACCACAGCCTTTTTTTATTTTTTACTTTTTTTGGTTTTTTTTTTTTGAGACAGCATCTCACTAAGTCAATAAATTGCCCAGGCTTGGTCCAGGGATTTAGCTCAGTGG